CATAATCTTCCATTACCCAAATATCAGCACCAAATCCTCTACCCACATCATGGTACAATACTAAACAAAGGGATCCGTTCAAGACCTTCAAGTTATGCTGAAAATAACCTAGAGGCCATGGAATCATTGGACAAGGCATTTTCTGAAATTCTTCGCTGCTAAGATCAAAGGAAATGATGTAGATAACACCATTCGATCGCATTTCCCTCATTAACCAGTGTAATGCACCATTAGCAAGGACACAATCTGGGGCATAGTAACAGTGGTAGGTCGACTATTTAAATGGAAAATGCTTCATCCTTCTCCATGAGTTCTGCTTTGAGCTATAAATGTAGACATCATCATACCAACTCAATTGATCTCTATCACATAGATCTGAAACCTAATCCTATTCAACACTTTGTACTCATCATTCACACGGTCATACCCGAATCCAAGATGAAAAAGAGCTCTACCACGGGTGTGATATTCAATTGGGAAAGAGGGTAATTCCCAAGATCTTTGAATCCATGGGTTCCACAAAAAAAATTTGTCTGTGTCTGGATACATCAGACAAAGAAGTCCATTGCAAGAGCCTTTCAAACAAACTTCGCTTCTAGAGTAATCCAAAGGGTAGTTGAGCGGTTTGGCACTTGCGGTAGTACTGGAGCTATCAGCTTCAAGATCCAAAACTAAAGAGTAAAAGTTGTTCTAGTTCAGGCCAATAATTTTGATCCCACTGGGGGAATTTGCTTCTTGGTAGGTTTTATTGAGACGTATTTTGATGAAATCTGAGCTATCAATTAAAGCACGCCATGATTTTGAAACGCGCCTGGATTGTAGCAGAGAATCAAATGGTAACCTCAAAAGTACATTTGCAAGCAAATGATTTGAAATGTAATCTGACATTGCTGTGATTATTGGATGCAGGACTCGAGTGACGTATTCTGGCAGAACAAATTTACTCTAGACGATAAATTTTGATGAAAATTATGGAGAAGTTTCTTTTCTCAATTTGCTAAAACAAATTGATATTGAAAATTTAAGCCTTGATAGATGTGACTTTATAGCATTGTATATACTATGTATGCAGTTTCCAATTGATTTTTCGTTTTCTGAGGCCAAGACTTGGTCTAAGTCAACTCCAGAACATGAACTTCAAGGAAAAGAAACGGAAATAAGATGTGCTAAGATTTCTTATATAAGTAATTTCTTCAATCATTTGGTTAGCTATTTTCAAAATAAAGAGCCTATACTGCCAAAAATAGCTTAGATAGGTCAACGGTGAATATCATTAACATTAGCTGTAAACTATTTAACTCATTGTTGCTATGTTGAGTACATAAAGAACATGGTTTTTCTTACTCGTTAATTAATCTTTTTTTATCAGTTAGGTCTCTGAATTCAACCTTCTTCTCTAAGTTTGATAATGAAATTCGATCCATAAAAATTTTCATGTTTTCAACCAAACAATGTCAACCAAGAGTAGGAAAAAAACAATTGGCCAAAGGATAGATCCAATTGTAGGTATAAAGAATTTTAAGAATTGTGCTCTTACTCTAATAATTTGTTAAATGTGTCCCTGCTGATTGAAGTAGACTATTGTTTTTAGGCACTGAATTTTTGAAAAATTATGTTTTTATCTTTGATAATTTGTTGAAAGTCAATATAATATATGTACGTGCCGAGAAGTAATTTGACAACAGTTGTTCAAAAAAAAAAAAGTAATGTATATAACCTGTCATTTTAATTGATAACTACAAGAATAACGCTAATGCTATAAGGAGCTTTAGTTAATGGTATTTTTTTAATAAATAAAAATCATACTTTAATGAATTTTTGGGCATTTAGTGAATTTTTTGCTGTTATAACCTAGCACAAAAGAATAGATGCACTTAATAGAAATTAGACACAGTGGAGATGAATAGTAATTCTAAACAATATGGCCTTTATTTGCTGCAGCTCTTGTAGTCATCTCACTATGTGGTAGTAAAATTCTTAATAATTAGTAAAGCAGGGTAGATGATCAATACTCCAGAATTGTCATTTCTAAACGTGATGAAATAGGCTTGAGATACAAAACAGCCACAAAAGAAGTATTAGAACCCAAATTTAGGGTTTTAACAACATTAACACACAGGTCACAAAATTAAAAGATTAATTACAAAACTAGTGGTAGAGCCACGTGGTGTTTAGGGTGGACAATTGCCTCCCCTCAACTTTTGAATTTTAGAGAATAGTTTTGAAACTTTTGAACAATGTTAGTTTTTACTTATATATGCCTCTCTCTCCTCCCCCCCCCCCCCCAACCAAAGTTTTGAAAAATACTCTTTTTTTAACATTACCCTCCATATTATGAGAAGTTCTCATTTCCGGCACATTATCTCCCTTAGCAATCAATTTATTTTAGATATCTCTCCTATGGTACAAATATTTCAAAGTTAATAAATCACAAAATTAATTACTACTTGAATAGGAAATGATTTCAATACCTTTACACTACAAAAAAAAAGACTCATAATAAAAATAATCTTTATTTAATTTTTTATAATAATGACATCATTTTATGTGTACAATGTTATCCCCCACTGTTTATAAGTCTTGACTCCGCATTGTACAAAACAAATTGTAACCTAAATTTAATTCTCTACTACACCATCGGAAAGAAATCTTTTTTTTTTGGACAGATTTCAAATTCTTGATGGGCCAATTGTATCATGAAAAAATTCCAGAACGCCTTCCAAAAAATAAACATACGTCCAGGAAGGGGGTGAATGAAATGAAAGAACGAACGAGGGTTTTACATACAAAAATGCATTTTTAAATGATTGGAGGGATAAGGGGAAATGATAGGAGAACGAATGAACGAACGAACGAATGGCTCCCTGTGAGCCCGTATCCTTTTAATGAATGTGTTATTATTGCTTTCCTTTATAAATGTTTCTTGAATTGTTGATACTCTATGTTTAATGTATTGGATTGATTGTTTGATTATGTGTTCGGAACCTCACTGAACTTTTAGCTCACCCCTTTAGTTTGTTTTCCTTAACAGGGGAAGGCGAGCAAGGACAAGAGCTCTGTATAGTCTAGCTTGGTCTAGTTCTTTGGTTTTGTAATGGTTCTCGCCCTAGTACTTGGCACGGGCTGGTTGTTTGGTGAATTGAGAACCTTTGCATATTCGACGTTTGTACTTCCTTTTGAGATAGTAATGTACATATGTTTCGCTTAAGTTTTGGATTGTTGTTATGTTATTCCTATGGTTTTATTCCAATGGTTGCTTGAAGTGATCGACTGAATCCCGGCGAGAACTGGGCAGGCGGTCTGCCGAACCCTTTGGTTCGCCTTAGGGAGAGGTGGGGCTGTCACATCGTTGAACTTTAGCAGCACTGTTCAGCCTAAAATAGATGGTCAAAAAGAAGTTGCCAATTGATTTTTTAAGGAATTCGGTGCATTGCATATGTGGAGAGCGACCTAAATATTGGGATCATGCTCTTTCCTAGGCTGAGTTTGCTTTTAATAGCGCAATTGATGGCTCCATTGGTTGGTTTCTATTCTCTATTATATATGTTCAACCTCCTAGACATGCATTAGATTTGGTGCAGCTTCTAAAGGTTGGTTTCTATTCTCTATTATATATGTTCAACCTCCTAGACATGCATTAGATTAGGTGCAGCTTCTAAATGTTTCAAGTTATAGCATTGCCATGAGGAATATGGTTAAGGATTCGCAAGCTATACAAGTAGAGGTGAAAGTGAAATTGGAGGCAACTAATGCTAAACTCAAAGCTTCTGCAGGTAAACATTGTCATGCTATAGCATTTGAAGCAGGTAATGAGGTGACAGCTCTTCTGCATAAGGAGAGGTTTTCTATTGGCAAATATCACAAGCTACAACCAATGAAGCATGGACGTTACAAGATTCTTCAACGAATCAATCCTAATGCTTATGTAGTTGATTTGCTAAGTTGTATGGGTATTTCACGTACATTTAATGTCTCAGGCCTTTATTTCTATCCCCCTTCAGAGCAGCCTTTATATCTAGATTTCCAAGACAACTCGAGGGCAAGGTCTTCTTAAATGGAAAAGACTAATGTAGAGCATGTTGCACATGACTTCTTGGACAAGAGGAACTGAACAAAGGAAGGCATGGCTGAGCGATGCGAGACAGACTTAAGAGGAAATCTAACGCCAAGTTTGGCCTCATGACTGACACTGGACATCCTATTGATGAACTTCAGAAAATTTCCAGCGTGAAGACCAGCATCATCACTGGTGCCAGACATTATCGCGGATGGGTCGTTTTGTGCTTTGTTTTTCCATTTTCAGTTGTAATTCGTTTCCTTTTTCAATTAGAATTTGTTACCTATATATAGGCATACTAGGGCTATTGTTATTTGATTTTTATCAACTTTTATCAAGTTATCTAGGTTTTTACTAAATTTCTCTCAAGCTTCTTGAGAAACAAACAAGGTTCTTTCAAATCTTTCCGAAAGTTGATCGTGAATCACTCCTCTGTTATTTTTGGGAATCGTTCGTGAAACAACTTCTTCGTACCACTTCCGTGTCAAATTGCACCTAGTGCCAAACATTAGGACCGAATTTATTTTTGTTAAAACTTTAGGTATTAAAACTGAACGAGTGACAGGTAACTTGTGACATGCTTGCTGATTATTTGGTTTTCATTAGCAATTGCATTCTTGATATGCATTACAATTGCTAGGTGGTTTTCAACACTACTGGAGCTGTAGCTGTAGTTAGTTTTCTTGACCAAACACACCATGCAAATTTCACCTTTCTATTTTTCTGCATTTTTTGTTATTATAGTCAAACTAAAAGGATTATAGACCTGTGCAATTTTGTCAGGAAAAGTGTAAGGAAGTAAATCTAGCAAATCTTGTCAGCGCAAGTGCTATGGAACATCAAGATTTGTTGATTTTGAACTGTAAACTTAGAGGTACCTAAATACAACAACACCATCCAAAGAAACTAGTTTCCTTTCATGTTTTAGAAACCACAGTTTTCATCAACAACAAAACTTCAACTGAGAATACATCAGGTATAAAAGCAAAAGAAACAGCTCATTCTGAAAATCTAATCTGTTCCAAATGGCCTAACAAGGCGTCCGATACATCTACATGATGATTGAACAAAACTTACATCACCTCTAGTGGCTAAATCACTAATACGTTTTGCTTCAAGATCATGAAGAACAAGCTTTACTCCATCAATCTGCAAAAGTAATTGCCTCTTGTTCTTTGATAAAGCTAGAGGCGTCAAGCTCCAAAATGTCCAACCAGGCATTGTAACTGAAGTTAACTTGGTCCAAGATTTTTCCACTCCATAATCTTCCATCACCCAGATATCAGCACCAAATCCTCCACCTACGTCATAGTACAATATTAAACAAAGGGATCCATTCAAGACCTTCAAGTTATGCTGAAAATAACCTAGAGGCCATGGTATCATTGGACAAGGCATTTTCTGAAATTCTTCATTGCTAAGATCAAAGGAAATGATGTAGATAACGCCATTCAATCGCCTTTCCCTCATGAACCAGTGTAATGCACCATCAGCAAGGACACAATCTAGGGCACAATAATAGTGGTAGTTCGACAGTTTAAATGGAAAATGCTTCATCCTTCTCCATGAGTTCTGCTTTGAGCTATAAATGTAGACTTCATCATACCAACTCGATTGATCTCTATCACATAGATCTGAAAACCTAATCCTATTCAAAACTTTGTACTCATCATTCACATGGTCATACCCGAATCCAAGATGAAAAATAGCTCTACCACGGGTGTGATATTCAATTGGGAAGAGGGTAATTCCCAAGACTTTTGAATCCATGGGTTCCACAAAATAATTTTGTCTGTGTCTGGATACATCAGACAAAGAAGTCCATTGCAAGAGCCTTTCAAACAAACTTCGCTTCGAGAGTAATCCGAAGGGCAGTTGAGCTGTTTGGCACTTGCAGTAATACTAGAGCTATCAGCTTCAAGATCCAAAACTAAATTGTAAAAGTTGTTCTGGTTCAGGCCAATAATTTTGATCCCACTGGGGAAATTTGCTTCTTGGTAGGCTTTATTGAGATGTATTTTGATGAAATTTGAGCTATCAATTAAAGCACGACATGATTTTGAAACGCGCCTGGGTTGTAGCAGAGAATCAAATGGTAACCTCAAAAGTACATTTGCAAGCAAATGATTTGGAAGGTAATCTAGGTGTAGATATCTTTTTTAATTATGAGCACTAATTTCAAACATAGATTAATCTTTCCTACACTAACAGTGTATATACTGTTATCGTTAGATTCATAATATGTGTACAAAAGTTGAATTTCAAATTCAAATTTTGTATAATTATCATTCATCCAATGCTGACAGTATATATTCGATTTACTCTTCAAACATTACCTAAAAAAAATTAATATCTATTTATGCAAGTCTCCTAATAAACAAACTCTTAGTTTTCTTACCTTAGTTAAGGTAAGGAAAACACTACAAATTGGAAATTACGGACAAATAAAAGAAAATTCAGCCATGTTTAGAATTTTATGTATACATGATTGACTTAAGTTGTAGCCAAAAGCCAACCTCTAAACCAACGACGACTTTTGTTGCCTGATCAAGCAAGCATCGGATTTTTCCCAAGTTCGTTCAACTCGTCTCAAACATCCACCCTTTAATTTCCAAAACTCCAATATTTGAAGGCAAGACTATTTTCTTTTTTCCTTTGCAATTCCTTTACATTTTAATTCATAATCATTAATTATTTAGACACTTATCTTAAGTTTGTGGTATAGAAATTTTATTTTGATGATTATTCATTTGTCAATTGTTCTTATTCTAAATTTGTATCTTAGAGCTTTTATTTTAATTTGCATATGATTAATGCGTTTTTATTAAATTTAGTTAATGTTTATCTGATTTTGTTCTGTGAGTTGATTTTCATGTTTTGCTTTAGACTTTGTCTTTTATTTTCCAAAAAACATTTATTTATTATTTATCATATATTAAACTATAATTGTAAGACTTTGATTTCAAGTTAGCATACATCATTTGTTGTGATATTTTTTTGTTATACATTGTTTGATTGTTCACCCCCTAAGCTAAACTCCTGCGCCTGTCCCTGATATAGTGAATCTTTTTTGCACACACTGAATTGATTTTTACATGGTCGGTGTCTTTTCTATAATGCAATAATGGTGATCATTTTGGTAAACAAAGATATCATATACAAGCATTTATTAACATTTCGTTCAAGCTAAAGAATGAGTAACTTGAAAATGTGAGTGAAAATTGGGAAACTCAATGCTTACTGTTCCTTCATATTTTTGGAGATTTTCGTTTTATTGCAAGGTAATGTTGATACGAAAAGTCACTGCTTGGACCCATCTTATATCTTTGGAGATTCATTTCTCTTCCTCTATTGCAAATAACTTTTTATTGCAGAATGGAGCAGCTTTTCCTCTCTCTCTCTCTCTCTCTCCTTGCCTTCAATCATTCTTGAGGAGGGTTCCACGGAAAACAAAAATTTGAAAAAAAGTGTTGGTTCAATTAGGAATGCCCATCTGGTAATATTGGACTAGTGGAGCACCAGCCCGTTATCCTTCCACTGCAAGGAGCGGGAAGTTCTCGTTGCTCTGTCAAGCCAGCCTCACGCAGTGCCCTCCACTTTAGGAGCCAAGCGGTCTCAGCCTCCGCCAAGTCCGCATGACCCAGCTCGTCGCTTGGAATGGGCGAGCCAGTGAATAGCCCTACCAGTCCTACCATCCGGACCAATCCAACGTTCCAACACATTAATGCCCCTGCTCAGATTACAAGCTTGCGCTACCAAGCTCGGCGGCAAACTGCCTTGAGGAAGTTGCTTATAAAGCACTAGTACGCATATCAATTCTTCCATGTGGGACAAATTCGTTTCCATTTCCATTCAGGAGTTCTGTGTGTTTTTATAAAGAAACCTGGAAAAATTGACAGATTCGTTTTCTTAAAAACACACGTCTTGATATGGGACACACTTCAATGGAAGCATTAGTGTCAAATTGGGAATCCAAGTGGTGAAAGGTGTAAATGTCTATGGAGAATCTCAAATGAGAATTATAGGCATACTTTTACTTTTAGTGAAAGCAACTGTCATTCTGACTTTCTTTCTGGATTTCCTGTCTCTATAGGCACCTCATCATTGTCAAATTTTACCTACAAAACTTGCAACATGGTGGACGAATGTAAGAATGGTAGATTACTTAACTAATGTAATATTTACACCTTTATTGATGCAAGCTCACAACCTCTCAGAAAGATTACAAAAAGAGAGGAGGAACAACCATATCAAAGAATAACACCAGCTGATTATACCAGATTCTGATTATTGAAGCACACCAAATTTGCAAGCAGTGATGCTTCAGAATGACCATTGAACATTCTGAAATGAAACCTTTTCATGTACAACAAAATGTTAATTATCGCTGAAAAACTAAATCCCAAACATTTGACTACGGAGAAAATTTTTGTGAAAATTGGCATTTTAGCTATTGTGCCAAGTCCAGCACTAATCGTAAGTCTGACCAACACTTTCTGTTTCATGCTTCTATTTCTTAATCATACTGCACAAAACACGGGAAAGCTCTTCCAGTGGTATGCTATTATTTTGAAGCAATATTGCTGTCTTAAAGCCCTTAGCAAGTTTATGTTATTTATTCTAAAATCCATATTGCTCGATTAGATTAAAGCAGAAGAATGCTATTTCTTTCCTTTTTTGATCAATCCAGTGAACTAGGAAGATGGCATTTGACCTCAAGCTTTAAATTGGCTTATACTTTTTGTAAATGAAAGTGAATTTGTGTTTTAAATTATGTTTCTATACATCTTTAGATATTTTTCCTCGAAATATAACAATAAGTATATAGAAATGAGTCCCTATGCATATAAGTATGCCTTCCAATATCTATAGGATTCCTTGGGGTATCTTAGGCTTGCAATTTAACAAGGTAATCAACTCGAACTCGCGAGTAGCTCGGTTAACTACTTAACTCAACTTTGGTGTTGATCAAGTTCAAGTGGCACAAATTTGAGCTACTCGAAAATGCTCACGAATCAAGCTTGATAAGGTGCAAAATTGTCATTTAAATTGTGATTATTTTCCCTTTTATCTTAGCCAAATATTGTTTTAATCGTCTGATTATGTGAGACGTGATCAAAAAGAGCAATTTTCCAGCATTCTAAGAGTTAATTTGATGGAGGCGCGTTCAAAGCCTATTTCCAAGTCCAAGTCGAACTCAGTTTTTGAAGGAAGATTTTGAAGACTTTAATTTTCATTATTAGTTCTAGTATTGGATTAGGGAACTTGGAATATTATCTTAGTAGTTACCTTTTCCTATTTAAGAAACATGTGGTGTTATTGGTAGTAGAGACCGAAAAGGAAACAAAAAAAAAAGCAAAGGATGGACCGTTTGATTAATAGTTCGGCCAGCAACAATTTAGGGGGTAACTGTTTGAAGTAGGGGTGTGCAAAATCGAAAACATCTGATTTACCGACAGAATTCAATTTGATTTCGGAATTTTCAAAATCGGTAATTCGGAATTCGGCACTGAAATCGGAATTTCAGATTTCGAATTATGTGAATTTGGTTCGAATTCGGTAATGGAGTTTTTGAAATCGAAATTTTCCGATTTCAATTTCGTTTTATAATATATATATAATAATATTTATTTATTATATATATAATATTTTTTTATTTCAATTTCATTTTATAATATGTATATTAATATATATTAATATATATAATAATATTTTTTATAATATATGCAATATAAAATTTATATTATATAACAATACATCTAACAAAAAAGAAAAAAAAGGCAAAAAGGTTTCCAAATTCAGTGAATTCAGAATTTACCGAATTCCGAATTGAATTCAGAATCGAAATCGAAATCGAAACTAGTGAATTCGAAATCAAAATCGGTGGGTAATTCCTATGCCAAAATTCCGAAAAATTCTGAATTCAAACTTCTGAATTACCGAATTCGAATTTGATGCACACCCCTACTTTGAAATACAATACACGACCGTCACTTGCTTTGGCTCTTCTTCTGGCCTTTTCGTTAGTTTTACAGGAAAAATCATACGCAATTGTTATCAATGGAGTCTTGCACATTTTCCTTGAGGATACATAGCTAAATCTTCTTCTTTTCTAGTCAAGGGTTAACATGAAAACGCTGTTCCAAACATCTGTGAGATCGAATTATTTTTATTTATTTCTTTTATTCATTGGTATTCGTGCATTTTCTGGTTTAATTTCTTATGATTATTTTGTTATTTGAATGTCAAAAGCCCGATATTCAAATTAACCTAATAATCTATTGCCAAATTAACCTGTTAAATCCTTAATTGTTTGATTGGTTAATACTAGTGGCGACTAGCGTGTTTGGTCCCATGTCAGGAAAATGTATGATCTAATTTAAACAATCCTCGTAGCGCGTTTGTTGATTAGGGTTAGGCTTTTCTAATTCTTAATGCAATCGAGAAATTAAATCATATAGTCGTACTTAGGGTTATTTCTTGGTTAGGAAAATAGTTAATAGTCATACCTTGGCTATCGAAAAAGTACGGAAAAGTTGGTTCTTTATCGTGTGTATGGCAACTATAACCAATCTATTAATGAATAATTGAATTATCTTTGCATCGACGATTAGTTGAATGGACCATGTCTAAAAAATTGCACCTTTGACTAGAGTCTTATCTATTGTTGATTCGTACATATTCATTTCGTGCATTGCTTTGATTTAGTTAATTATTTTTTTTTATATTTTTATAAAATCCCCCGTACGTTGAACTCAAGGAGAAACAAA